GCCAAATAAAATATTATGTGAGCCAGAGATATTACTTTAAAGTTGGCTAGTAATGAGGCTAAGTAGTTGAGAAACTTCTTAGTAAATAATACTGCATTGAGAGTAAAATTGACACACATTATGTCGATAATATGTAATTGCCAAATGGTGATAGTCATTGCAAAGAGAACAATAGTATAAATAGATATTGTTTGAGGTACAATTAAGCATGTTAAAAGAGAGAGTTATCCCAATTGATTGTGTGAGAACAGATGTAAATATGATGGATCTGTTAACTAGCCCTTGGGAAAAAATTTTAATTATTTAAATGTCAGGGGAAATAGGACTTAAGCTAATTTGAAATTAACGATGATGGCAACCCAACCTTTGTGATTGGAGATCCCATAAAGAAAGTTCAATGAGTAAGAACAAGTCATTTGTTTGTTCTGCTAGCACTAAATTTTTTGCCCCTTCCTATGACTTGAGAAAGGGCTATAATGCATTAATCGGAGGCTTAACTAAAGCTCTTAATGTTTTCATAGTCCTATATGGATGGTGTATTCATTACAGATACACTTAATAAAAACACCTATACAAATACGGAGTGAGGTCGCTCCTATGAGATCCTGGCAAAATCTCTAAAATATTTGTTAAAATTAGGAAAACTCATGGTTGATAATGTGCAAAACCATCGTTAACGACAAAAATTGTGAGGGTATAATCTAACTAATAAGACCCCTAGTACATGACCAAATATGTTGGTTCAATAACAAAGTTGCATTGACTTTTTTGTGTACTAAGTTTTATTGGTATAGGTTTGGTTTAAGTCAAAAGACACCAAATTTGAAGTAATTGTCTTCCGTGTGAATAACTTAGATGATAGTGGTATTTTTGATGTATGAGGGATGTTGTTGCAATCATGTCAAAAAGGCAAGTCTCATGTTACTTAAATGAATGAAGGCCTTAGTTTATGGACACTACAATGTGAACTTGAGATAATAAATGAGCTTAGAGGAGAAATAAGCTCTTACATACAATTGCACACAAGTTAGACATGATTCTGGGTAATTTTTTAAAATTTTAGAAACTATTTTGTGGAGATACAAAATTATTTGTATAAAATAGTTTTTTAAAAAATCTCCTTCATTTTGAAATATATGGGGGATTGTTAAATATTATAAAATATTTTTAAAGTATTTCAAAAAGAATTATTATAAAGTAATCATATTAATTATTATTTAAGTCTATTTATTATTTTAAAACATATAATTTAAATAGCATTGTTATGTGAAACTGTTTTTTATTGTGATTAAGATGATTTTATTGCCTAACATTATGAGATCTATTTATAAAAAGCAATACTTGCCATAAGTTAAGTGAGAGTGTTGGTACTCTCAGCTTTTCTCTCCTCTTCTATTGTATTGATTCATTTTGCAGTTACTTGAGTATATTCTATAAATTTTTATGGTTTTATATCCCTACTTTTAGTAGGAAGAGTCTGTTTAATCCTTGGGGCTGTCGGGCAATCACCCTGGTGTGATAGAATAGCTCTTAAAGACAGTGTCCTTAAACACAATTTAGACTATGATTTTACCTACTATTGCCAATACAAATAACAAGAACTACTAAGTAATGTTTGATTTAAACAAACAATTTACGTGTCTTTATCAAATTATTGAACATTGGCTATAATTTAAAGTTAAAAGGCTTAATATTCTAAAATATTTCTTTTTGTTTATGCACAACATTATGCCTTATTTGGTACGTTGGAAATGATTTTGATAGAAATGAAAATGGATATAGAAGTGGAAATGAATATGAAAACGGGGATGAATATGAGTTTTAAAAATATATTTGTTATGTATATGGAATTGAGAAATTGCTTTTATTTAATGTCAATATTTAAAATATAAAAAGATTAAAATGCCCTCATCTCAGAAAATGGCTCCAACCATGAAATTGAAGATGAACAAAGACAAACGAGTAACCATTAGAGGAAAATTGATAACCACAAAAAAACAATCAAACACTACTATGGTGGAAAGCGTGAGCCTCATGGAATTTGATTACTAGAATGGATAGGAGATTTGTGGAGGTCTGTGACTTGGTTGCTCAAAGCCTTAAACCTAAAAATCAGATCTAGATTGAGAAGGTTACGGAGCGGTCTGGGAAGGGTCAGAGTGGTGGTCGAGGTTAGAGCTTCGAGCTTCAAAATTGGAGCAGGCACAAGAAGAGTCACCTTCAAGCATCAAAAATGGAGAAAAGGTAGAGGTCATCTATTTTGGAAAGAGGCAATTAAGCTTGACAACTCTCTGACATTATCATCGTCTTCCTTGTATATGAAGGCTGATGAAATTGAGTCTCTGAGCTTCAGTTTTTTAGTAGTGTCTAGGGTTTGATAAGATTAGCCATGGTGTCAACCAAATCAAGCATCGACCAAATCATCGCCTTCAAGCACTAGATCGAAAATCGAGAGGGAAGGAGGGGGAGTTGAAGGCGATGCAAGACAAGTGCTGGTGAAGAGCAGCATTGATGGTGTCATTGCTGTTGGGTGTGAGACAAGCACTGATGAAAATGGTGATGGGGTGGCCGAGGATGTTGAAAATTTAGGTAGGGTTGTTAAAGGTAAGAGGGCAAATTTGTCTTAAAATTTCATTAATGATACAATTCCATAGAACCAATATCATTTCCATGAGTCTTCTTATGAAATCCAATTCAACCAATTTTGGTGGAATTGAATTTTACATGGAAGCTAAATTCATGCATACCAAACTAACATTTTTTTTAATTCCATGTCTATTTTCAATTCCATGCTCTAAAATCCACTGTACCAAACAGGACCTTAGTAGTGCTTGTACTTGGTTTTCTTACATTACCATGTATTAAATTCCTATACTTTGGACTTTTAAAACGACCATATAGAGCTAGTTAACCATGTATATTGGTCCAGAGAAATAAAGACCGACTTCTTGCAATGATTGATCTTGAAATTTTTTATTGATTGTTATCACAATGAAAGTGTAATAGGAAATTATTGTCTTCACATGTGAAAAAGGCCCTTTACTCTCTAATATGTAGAATCATTAGCTATTAATTTTCTTACTTTACTTATTAATTTGCCAATATGAGTCGTAAATTACGTCCATTTGTCAGACAAGTAGTAACATCAATTGTTAAATTACTAACTTTACTTATTAATTTGCTAACATCAGTTGTAAAAGTTAGCAATTTAAAAATTGATTTACTTTTTTGTGATTGAACAACTTATGTCAAGTTTTATATAATTATTGACATGTAAATTCATGTAATTTACAACTTATATTAGTAAATTAATAAGTAAAATAAAAAAATTTACAACTAATAATTATACATGACAAGTGAAGGGTAGTTTGATTTTTTCATCGTTGAAATTATTTTCACTTTAATTCTTTTGAACTGAATTGAAGTTTGAAATTTTTTGGAATCCACTAGTAATTAAGTCCCATCCATGGTTCTTAATTAAAATTCTCCTAAATTAAATCAACCAAATAAAATTAATAACATAAGATTTGTAAATAACAAGAAAAATCTAATTCTTTATATAATATGTCTATTTATTTGTAAGAGTTCATATAAATTTACACTTGTATTTAAAAAAAATTCACAAGTTAATTAAAGAAAATAAATCAAACAATTTTAAAATAGCTTACTCCTTCCGTCCAAAAATGTAAGACATTTTTAATAGAATTTCATTCTCAATAAAATAGTTACTTACTATCAAACTAACCCTATTTTTTGATATTTATACCTATTAAACATCCTACAATAAATATAAAATCACTGTCAATTGGGATGCTTTTAAAAAAAGACAATGATTACACTTTGAAAGACTAAAAATGCCTTATATTTTTAAACATCCAACTTCTCAAAAAATGTATTACATTTTTAAACGGAGGGAGTATATCTTTGCTTTTAAAAAAAATAACAATGATTGAAAAAAAGGAATATTATGCAAAAATATCTTTTCTTCCTTTTTTTTCTCTGCGAACATACCTTTAGACATCAACTAATATATTTTAATCAAGGTATCAAAAACCTAATCATCTATTAAATTGACCAAGGTTAAGGATTAGAAGTTCAATTGGGGTTAATCTGAAGTCAAACTAATTATAATAAAATAAAATAATTTAAATAAAAATATATTATTCAAGACTTATAATCTCATATAGTACCACATAGAAGTATAATACAATGGTCAAAAACACAATGATATTTACCATATTTACAATCATCCTTCCATCATCAAAAAGTCTAAAACTAATAATAATTAACACTAAAATCTTCATAAATTTCCTTCAAATTTCTAGGAGAAAGAATTAAAACATTAGGAGTTGATTGAGAAAAACTAGAACCACTACTAACATAATCATTCAAGGATGGAGGCTTTAAAATATTCATTTCTTCTTCAATTATATATGACAAGAATTAACACTAATTATTATGTATAAAAATAATTATATATTCATATAATATTAGACTTTTTAGTAAATATGAACCTTCGTTGACCTCTCAAAAATTGATGGAGCTATAATATTTTCATCATGCATAATAGATAACACTTTCAAAATTTGTGACATTATTAGCATTAAACTCTAGAATTGTCTCTTCTTCTTCTTTAGCAGCCCAAAAGTTCAATTGATCAATGGATTCATAATCAATAAAATAGAACTTGTTTTTTTCTTCAATTAACTCCTTTATTAAAATCAAAGAAAATAAATATCACTAATAGAAAATAATAATAAAATTTATATTCATTACAAATATTTATAATTTTTATTTTTATCGATGCTTTAATTGTATATTATAGTATGTAAAATGTTTGATGTTACAACTTTTTTTTTTATTTTGGCATGGACACATTCAAACAAATTCTAATTCATCGAACCACCACAGGAAGTTTGAGCTGAAAGTAATTATTCGTATTGAATGGGACATGTATAAAACTCTCTCTCTCTATTATGTGACATGTCGCCCGGGCTCTCGGTGCCGCTGCTGCGCTGCATATCAGCCGTTTGCGCGTAACCATCACGCTCACTGAAAGCACGTCGATTGCAAATTCATGTTTCTACGTTCATTCAAATAAAATTTGTGTAACACTGAGCTACGCCGATGCTAACAGAACTACCAGCTTCAGCAAAACCCTAAGCTACAATATAACCGAAAGCAAATTCGCCCGCGCAGGAGAAAAACAGTCCAATTTTCTCTCAAATTGTCCACCTTTGTCGGTGATATGAAGAGCAGTTAATTCACAACTTCGGGGCCCTAAAATGTCGCTCCACGGCGGACCTACCGACCGCCGGGAAGCTGGCTCGCCGGCAGCCGGGAATGCTGTCTCTGGTGGTGGAAATGGAGTCCTCACAAGCGACTCTAGCAGGCCAGCGACGGTAGTTTCGAGCCAGAGGCTGCGGTTGAATCCGAACAAGGACCACAAGCCAGATATTTACGAAGGTTTGCAGTTGGAATTCAGTCCTTCGATTTTTAGCTCGCTGGAGAGGTATATGCCTCCTAGCATGCTCGGTGTGCCTCGGGAAGATAAAGTAAACTTCATGCGGGAGATTTTGCTCAGGTATCTGCCCCCGGGAGAGCAGAACAGGGTGCGTTTCACGAGCAAAAATTTTCTTCCACTATGAATTAGCATCTAAAGTCCAAAAATCGTTCATGCTTTTTTAGCTTGCTTGGAACCGCGCATGAAACTCAAGAATGGGAAATGAATAATTTTTTTTTTTTTTTTGTGGGGGTAAATTTCATGCCTTGCATCTCAACTCACAGGGTAGTAAAACTGCATAAACGGGTGGGTGTTACTAGTTTGTGCGACAATTCTGAATTTACTGGTCCAAAAATATTGATTCTCTCAAGTAGGTAAACGGTTAAAGTGAATTGCTTATTTAGTAGAGACAGATTAAGAGAAAAGAATGAAAGTGTGTCTCATAGACACTTTTATTCCTTGCGTCACTTTTTTTCCCCCTTTTCTTTATTTAGGTGGCGCTTTGCAATTTACCAAAGTAAGTTTCTTGAAGTTAATCTCAACTTGTGAGCGGAATTTGCTCTAAGATGGCACATTAACTCTTTTTCTAAGTGCAATATATTGTTTGTGCTAGAGCTGATGTCTGGTTTGGAACTATGTACTCATGACGTGGTAATAATTCTAGTCAAGCATTGTTTGTCATCCGTCTGTAGCAAGTAAAAAAAAAAAAAGGACTTTTTGGCATCAGAGTATCCGTTAATTTAGTTGTGGTGTCCTTTGCAATTTTTAAATGTTAGGAGTAGATGAAGGTATGGAAGGAAGTTTAAATAATTAAATGAGTAATTATTTGTGTCTGTGTCATTGTTTTGAGGAATTTGTGAATGATATATGTCTTTTAAGAAGTAGAAGTAAAAATCTCAAATTTCCTTGAGGTTCTTTTTTTCTTCTGGAACTTGAAGAATACGCGCTCATTTTGATGGTGTGGACATGGTAAAAGTTTCATATGCAGAGCATGATTTTAATTTTTTGGCCATTCCTGGATGCATAAAGAAGATGAAAGAAAAGTAATAAAAGTTTTGAGGGTGGAGTGATAGGAAGAAAGAGCAAGCAGATTATACTTAACATGAAATTCAAAGTAACATTTTTCCCATATGTGATGCTATAGTAGGTTTTCTTTATGCTTGGGGGCTGGAAGGTGGGAATACTTCTTGAGAATGTGTTTTATGTAATAAGATGTAGTTTATTTTATTTCATGTTTTTTGGTTATTATATCTCACTTATGGCTCATTTTTTTGATGGTTTCATGTAAATCCAGGCTCAGAAGCATAGAGATTACAGACAAAAGATAATATCAAATTATCAGGTATGTCATGTGATCACAATACTATCTTAAGCTTAATTATTTTTTATTTGCTCGGCTGCATGTGTTTGCCCTAATTTAGCATAGAAACTGAACGAATAATCACGGGAGAGAATGGGATGAAAATATGGAGAACATCATGTAATTGAAGTTTGAAAGCAAATGTGCATAAGGAACCTTGTTGTCTAAATCTAAATATCTAATAATGAATCCTTATACTAAAATTTAACTAAACTCTAATCAGGTCTGATCCAAAATAGATCAGTTAGGAAAAAACCTGAAATCAAAACAGATTTGCACAACTTGTATGTTGGCTTAACATGAGGTTGATCTCTCTCTTTCCGTCACTCAAAGTGTCAGGTGGTGGTTAAATTGATAAATACTTATTACAATATAATGATTAGAGTCTGTTTTTAAATCTCCCTAAATCTTTCTTAGCCACCTCATCCTCCCCCTCCCCTGATGAATAAGAGTTAGGAGCCTACGTTTACTTTGAAACTGCACTCTTCTTGGACGTTTTTCATTTGGTACACATTATTATATCGAACTAATTTTTAACTTTATATGAGACTTGCAAAGAGCAAATGCATTTTCTGTTTATAATTAAGATGTGTCTTGAAATAAATAACTACTTATATAGATCGTGTAAATATATTCTTGTCATTTTCTTAAAATTTGATATAGCTAATTTTTAACTTTATATGAAACTTATGGTGTTTTAACTAGTGAAACTATTTAGTACATAAAATTTTATGTGAGCATGCATTGTTCTTTATTCATAACTATATTTTCACAACTAAAATTGGCCCCGTATATTATATGAAATCTAACAAATGATGCTTACTATTCATGACTTATTAATAGTACAATTTGTTAGAGTCCTTATATTATATACATAAATGAAAATTTATTTGATATGCTGCATTCAGTTGATTCCTGATAGATTTGATAAATGAGGTAAAAACAGAAGTATTATTCGTATCCATCTGAAGTGTAGGAAGTTTATTTCCTCAAAGTAAAGATTAACGTTTATTTTGGCAACTGGAGTTTCAATGATTTATTGCTCATTGCAAATTCTCATGAAATATTCTTCTCGTGCCTTGCTGTGGAAATCATCATGTAAAGTTTGAATTATGCAATTTACCTGGGAGGAGAGCTTGATATCTCCTTGGATGCGGTTTATCTCTAAACATGTATGATGATGCTGTAGCAAAACTATAACTATATTTGAAGCAGAAGACTTTTTGAACAAATGGTTTATGTTTAGATTTCAGATATGCTGATGTATGATGATTATCTTACCTATATCTCCTGTATTCTGTTATTTCTAAGCAAGAGTTACTGGTTTTCTATGACACTTGTGCAGCCTTTACACTGTGAGTTGTATGCTTTGAACCCTACAATGTTCTTCGTCCCAGCATTTCTGAAAGCAATCAATGATAATACAGAGCAAAGCTTTAGAAGTATAATGTCTGAGCCCATTCCAGGCATTTTCACATTTGAAATGCTACAGCCTCCCTTCTGTGAGTTATTGTTATCTGAGGTACTTAATCATTTTGACTATCATTTGGAAGTGGTATAAGCATTAAGCAGTATTATTCCTCTTTTAATTTTAAATTTGCACATGCATATCCTTGTAAATGTTAGTTGGATATGTATAATTCTTTTTGTCTTTCTAGATTGAAAATTTTGAGAAGTGGGTGAATGAAACAAAATTTCGAATCATGCGTCCTAACACGATGAATAAATATGGTGCTGTACTTGATGATTTTGGCCTTGAAACGATGCTTGACAAGCTCATGGAAGGTTTTATTCGTCCTATATCTAAAGGTAAAAGATATTTTTTTAATTTACACTCATTAATTCACGGTGATTTCCCTAATTTTGTATGTATATGCCAGAAGAAGCTTATCATCCTCTATTAAAATTTTCATTCTTGGTGCATGTTCAATTAATTAGTTTGGTTATTCTGCAGTCTTCTTTGGAGAAGTTGGTGGAGCAACCCTAGATTCTCATCATGGATTTGTTGTTGAATATGGTAAAGAAAGAGATGTTGACTCAGGTATTTTTTTTCTGCCTGATGCATTTCATTTTACTTGTATACTTGAAAAGAAAACTGTTGATGCTGAGCGTTGTGGCTGTATTCGTAATATTAGCTACAATTGACAAATGATAGTACAGCTTCACTATGGCCTGTGTTAGTATTGTTAGCTATAATGGGCACGTTTTTTTTTTTAAACAAATTCTTATTCCATTATGTCTTAGAATGTGTCATAAAATGCTCCCTCTTAAACTGCTTCCGTTTATTACAAGCATCCTGGCTTTATCATCTTTATGTTCCTCATATTCACTAAGGCTATATTACCTAAGAAGAAAGCAAAAATTTGTTTGATCATTTCACTGGCTAAATACAATTATACTGTGCATGTATACTGAAGAAGGCTAGGATCTTCATATGTCAACCCTGCAATAACCTTATCTTATTATGGCTAAGGGGCTTGTTGACAATCACAGTTCCTACATCCTTCTTTTGTTTAGGTGTTGGAATTTCTATATATGTTCCAAAGCTCATGCATAATTTATTTTGGGTGAACATATCTTTCAATGATATAGGATTCCGTTACTCCTGATCTCCTGAATTAGAACTTGTCCATTCGGTTTACGATGTATGAAGTAATGAAGTCTATATATATACAATCTTACATTTGTAGGTTTTCATGTGGATGACTCAGAAGTAACCTTGAATGTTTGCTTGGGTAAGGAATTTTCTGGAGGGGAGTTATTTTTTCGAGGAACGCGATGTGATAGGCATGTAAATACAGGGAGCCAGTCAGAGGTACGTCAATTCTTTTTTTCTTTTTTTGCCAAAGAGGTATGTCAATTCATAAAGATGGAATAACATAATTACATAAACGAAGATTGGCATTGAGAGGATCAAATACTTAATATATTGATTCATCATTTTTGGGATACGCATACATAGTTCTACTCATACTTGTAGAACAGGTGATCTTCAAGTATTGATTAGGAGAAGAATCTATCTCTATGATCTTGATATTTTGTGATATGCAGCAGCCTGAGTTGTCATAACTGATTTACTGTTTTTCGTTGTCTTGAGTAATCATTGAGTTGACTCCAAGAGAAATGAACATGTAATTCTTTAGAGAACCATACAAATAATTTTTGTTTTGGGAAGTCTCTGCAAGTTGCATAACATTTGCAACTAATGTTATAATGAATTGAAATGGTAAAATATTTCTCATTTTACGTGTTTTAACTGTATTTGATTTTTTTCCTATAGTGGCATATCTTTGTTGATAGTGAAAATATATTATGCGGTTATTTGTGTTTGGGCTTATATTTTGCTCAGATGGAATCACTAAGGATAGTAGTTTATAAGTGCTATGGATATTTTTGGACCATCTCTTGTTATACTTCGTATATGGTTGCACACTTTTTTGATGAAGTCATTTAAGCAGGAGATATTTGACTACTCTCATGTCCCTGGACGAGCTGTGCTTCATCGTGGTCGGCATCGCCATGGTGCTAGAGCTACTACGTCTGGTCATCGGATCAACCTACTTCTATGGTGCAGAAGGTGCTTTTGACTTTGCTTGCCCCAATTACTAGTTTTGTAATCCCTTCGATCTAAATGTAGGAGTTAGATGACTAATTTACAATGATTAAGGAGACAAGTTAATTACTTGTAAAAATGTGTATTGGTTTCCTTAGAATACCCCTTTTTAGTAATTACGTTAGTATCTATCCCTATTGATGGAAACCCCCTTTTAGTAAGTGCAATTAATAGGGATAGTTTGGGAAAAAATATAAATTTCGGAGACAGTAGATTGAGGTCTTACATTCAGGATTGGAACAAGTCCGCCTACTAACTCCTACATTTAGGGCAGGAGGGGAGCATCTCCTACATTGAGAGTTTGTCCTTCGTTTTTTAAACTCTGATTTGAATTCTTGTTCTTCAAATTTTAATTATTTTGTGTCTGAAAAGTGGCTTCCTTCGAGAACTAATGGGGGAATGGTCCACTTGTTATATCCTCTTCTAATGAGTTTATGTAGATTGTTCCCAATTCCAATCAAAAGGATATAAATAAAGCAAAACTCAATTGTGTTGTTTATTTTTAAGTTTCCTTCTGCGTTCTTAACCTGTTAAAAAAACCCCCTAAGGCTGCAGCTTTTATGGGTGGAAAGGGCAAAGGTCTTGCATTTCTGTTGTGCAATTGCTGCAGCATCCATCTGCGATGTCATTTCCCCACTCTGAGTCTAATCTCTTTCTTGAGAGGATCAATTACTTTAAACCCATATTGTTTTTTGATTTTTCTTATGAAAGAGAATCAAATTTATGAAATACATTGCATTATTTCTTTGCAGTTCTGTCTTCAGAGAGATGAAAAGGTATCAAAAAGATTTCTCCAGCTGGTGTGGTGAGTGCAATCGTGAGAAGAAGGCAAGGCAGCATTCATCAATTGCCGCTACAAAATTGGTAAATCTTCATCTAATTTTCATTCTTCTAGCTCATGCATCATGAGGCAGATTGTTTGAGTGAGTTATAACTTGTACGTGCACTGATAATGAAGTCTCCAAGTATCGTACTCTGTTATCAGTGTTTCCGTATGAGCACTGAGTCAGAGTTAGTCGACTGCTGATTCAGGGAGGCTTTGTGCTGAACGATATGAAATATTCTTTCTAGATATTCTAAGACATGCACTGTACCAAAGAACAAAAGAGGATGTACTGGAAAAGTAATTAAGCATTTTTTTTCTTTTTGATAGTAGACTTCACTGACAGTAGAGATTATTTTTCCCGAAGTATGGAAGGCAAAGGGTAGACTTATCTCAACTAAGTTGTTACAAACACAAGGGTTGGGATTCGAACCCTTAACTACTTGCTAAAGTAACAAGAGCTTTGACCACTCACACTAACTTTAGTTGGTAGTAATTAAGCATATTTATTCACCCAAGATATTGAAATTGATTTTTTTTCTCTTGGAAAATGGGTTAAATGATATTGAGCTTTAGTAAATTAGCATTCATATTTCTAAAGAGTCAAAATTGAGTTCTTTTTATAAAATGTATTACATGGATATTAAGGTCTGGTTTTCTGAAGAGGGCAAAATGTTGAATAGATGTGTGTTTGAAGTAGATGGATAGAAACCTTATGCTAGAGTCTGCTGTGTCATTTTGCAAGTCCTGATTAATTTGCCTGGCTTTCACAAAGTTGTTCATTACATATGTATTTTAAATTATATTAAGCAATGTTGTTTGATTGGCATTTTTATTATATATCTTTTGAAGCCACATAATGAGTGACTTGCTGCTGAGAAGTACTCAAGAATCTGTCATCTATCTTGCCTTTTGATGGAAGTGCTTTCTGACTGAAGTTTATTTCTTTTTTCGAGTGAACAAAGTTTATTTCTTTAATCTTTATTGTACCGCTTGAAAATGCATGGCTGATGTTGCGGAATTTAACTGCAGGAACTGTTCAAGAGAGAAGAGACCACCACATAATCCATGTTCAATGGACAGTCATGGTGCTGTATTCTTAATGCAGACAGCAAATCGATGCTGTTGATGATGTTCAAAAGTTTTCTTCAAGCTTCGTCGTCCAGGGGACTGTAATAGTTTCCATTGGAATGGTAGAGCTTCTTGGAAATAAGCTTCCAATTTTCTCACTCCTAAAAATTTGCTATCCGAAACTCTTGAGGTTGTATTTTAGGTCTATGTGCCGTAATATAATGCTCTTTTTTTTTTTTGGCCCCTTGTGCACAGACTTACTATTCAATGGCAAGTAGTTTAAGCCTTGGATTGTCATAATTATGTGTCACGTTACAGCCTGCATAGTTCTATCAGAATATATGTAGTTACACAGCATAGCTGTTAGCATATTCAACTTTTGAAGTTGCTATTTTCAATAAATGAGTTGAGACTCGAAGGGATTGAGACCTTGTCAAGCCAGAAAATTTAAACGACCAGGGTGTGTTTATTTTTTTATTTTTTTTTGGATGAATTAAACGACTGAAGTTTTAATCGGTTTTGGGGGTTTATCATAAAAAAAGATTAAGGATTGGCGCAAGTACGAATTAGTCTATTGAGATGAGTGTCAAATAAAATGATTTTTTCACGCATTACTGTTTTATATTGTTCACAGCGGTGTGAAATGTTATAAATTTTATATTCAGTCAAATTACTTTACTATTATTTAAAAATACCCTACATGACGAAATTTAAATGATGATAGAAGTGAACATTTGGAGAAGTCAAATGATATTAATGCCATCAAAAAGGACCAATTACAATGTAAGTCACCGATGAAAAAGAGTTTGAAAATATGAAAAAAAGTCAACAAGCCATTAATAGAGCAGAACAGCCTGAGCATTTGGTATGTGCATATCTCGGTCAAATAAGTCCGCCTTCTCCCGATGTCCTTCCTAGTTGAAGGATGAGGAATTATCAGAGCAACCTCTAATTAGATTTATTTAAAAAAAATTTATTTTAATAAATATAAAAAAATAAAATTAAAAAATAAATCTGGACCGTCGACGGTCGACTAGATTTTTCATTTTTCCCAAATGCAGCGATTCAGTGAAGGTGCGGAGCAGGAGAGGCGCAGAGGAGGCAATCCAAAGTCCGATCATTATCTGCATTCTGTGAACCAAAAAGCAAACCCTCAGTTTCTCTATCTATGTCTGCAATCATTTTGACAGTTTTTCTCTCCCTTATAACTCAAACTCTCTCATCACTTCTTCCAGGTTCTTATTTCTACTATCTTGGAGATTTGAGGTTCTTCCGTGGCTGACGTGCTGCACCCACAAGAATTGTTGAAGGCAAAGATTTTTCAAGATTTAATCGCGTGCCTTAACTTTTTATGGGATCCATGATTGCTTGGTGTTTATATAGTTTTCTTGGGTTACGGTTTTATCCGAATTGAAATCCCCTATAGTGGCTTTGTACTTTTTTTTTTTTGGGGTCCTTTGGTGATATTTGGAAGGAAATGATTCCCGATTCCTCTGTAATTGTTTCTTATAGTTTTCTATGGTCAAGACTCCGCATGTTTTATTTATTTCAAATAATATCACACAGCTTTGAACGTTCCCCCGATACTGTATAATAAAAATCATCTCATTGTTAGTAACCCCCCCCCCCCCAAAAAAAAAAAATCTTGTCCATCTAATTTATTTTTCTGGGAAAAAAGACTGACAAACAATCTATAACTTATAATTCCCTATCATTGACGCACAAGATATATTATAATAAAAATTATTTGCATTTATTCATGGGGAGTCCCGTATTGAGTAATCGCAGCAACGGGCAACCGCTATTAGGTATCACTGAACCCATTTCATTGGGTGGGCCAACTGATTACGATGTGATCAAGACCCGTGAACTTGAGAAGGTTCTGTTCACACTTTCTGTTCTTAATTTTTTGACATTTTGTAAGCGTTTCATACTCATTTTGGATTCTGGATGTTCAGTATTTGCAAGACGCAGGACTGTATGAGAGTCAGGAGGAGGCTGTGAGCAGGGAAGAAGTGCTTGGCAGGCTAGACCAGGTTGAATTAAATTTTCTCGATATCATTTTTAATTCTGTGAAGAAGTTAGAAAAATATATGGCATTTCGGGAGGTGAAGTTTACCTGAGTGGCTGAATACTTTTTTCTTTGAATTTTTTTGCATTTCTCTTCCGACCATTTTGGAGATGTGGAGGAACTTCCCATGCATTTTGTCTATTCCATTCGTGCTTTTGTATTATGAACTAGATTGTGAAGATTTGGGTTAAAGCCATTAGCCGTGCAAAGGGAATCAATGAGCAACTGGTGCAAGAAGCAAATGCCAAAATCTTTACTTTTGGCTCCTATCGGTTAGGGGTACAAAGCTGTTTCATAATTTTTCCCTCTGGCACTCTTATATAAATATATGTATATCTATTTTTGTCTGTTCTTTTATTTCCTCGCATGCTTGTTGGGATTGTCTGACCAAAGTAAGGCAGAGGGATCATGGGTACTTCATAGTCAAATGGCAAGCCACTTGTATTTATATCTTAAAGAACATCACATGATTTTCAAAGTTTGGAACAGGAAACGAAGTTATGCAGGGAGGCATAACCCCTTTCCAAACCATTGGCTCTAGAATATTTTAGAGATCCAAGGCTCTGAACAGATGTTATTTCACTTTTTGAAACTTGTGCTGTTGTGTGGCATGAACTCATGTTTGAAGTTGATTATGTGCATATGATGGATTCGGTATGTTTTGTCTAAGTAGTTGTATGGATATCTATGGCGTGTGGACTTTATGATTAATTTGAATGTATTTGTACATTTTTTTTGAAAATAATAATTTGTAGAGATACCTGTTTGTCTCCATTTTTATCTACCATTAGAAATGGATGTGACATGATAATTTATTAAGAGTTCATGTCATTTTGCATTTAAGTTTGATCATTGTTTATTGAAATGATTGCTAAGTACTCTCGAGGATTTGATTCCAAGAAAGGATTTTTTGAAAATTTCCAAGGGCACATTAGAAAGTCTGTCTGATAAACTATAATCTCTTTCACATGCATCCATCACAATAAACTAATGCAGAAATTTTGATGCTTGAACCACACACAAAGTTGACTAGCTATAAACACTTAGTATATGTTACCTTGAATAAGTTTGCATGATTGCATCACTTTTCCTTCTTAAACTTTGCCTCCCATATTTTGTAGGTGCATGGTCCTGGAGCAGATATAGACGCTCTTTGTGTGGCCCCTAGATATGCAAGCAGAGAGGTATGAGCCAAGCATTTTGTAATGAGAATTTAATTTTCTATTTAATATCCTATGTCAATTGAAATTTTTATTTGATTTGTCCTTAGGAAGATTTTTTTAGTGAGCTACAAAATATGCTATCTGAGATGCCAGAAGTAACAGAATTGCACCCTGTGCCTGATGCACATGTTCCAGTGATGGGATTCAAGTTCAATGGTCTTTCCATAGACCTCCTTTATGCAAAGTTATCATTGTGGGTTGTTCCAGAAGTAAGTTGTTGATGCAAAAATGGTTATGCTTTATGCTCAATTGTTGTTATTCGTCAAATTCCGGTCCTTCTTAAAGCGTTTTTAAGACATTTAGTGGTATCAGTTAAATTGTGAAGTCTGAGGCTTTCAAAAGTGGCCTAATGTGGTAATATATCTTCCTTTCCTCATTTTCTGTTGCATACTAATTGCAACACACTTGATTTCTTTTGGTGATGGTTGTATTTATCTATTTTTACTCCTTGGTCATACTGGATTCTTTGGGGTGCAGGATTTAGATGTATCACAGGATTCAATATTACAAAATGCAGATGAGCAGACTGTTCGCAGTCTTAATGGTTGTCGGGTTACTGATCAAATTTTGCATTTGGTTCCAAATATTCAGGTAGGGGCTATTGATTTGGTGTGGAGATATATTTCTTGTTATCTTTTTGTGTTATTTGTTGTTGATTAAAGTTTTTATTTTGAAGTGCAGACTTTTCGAATGGCATTAAGATGTGTAAGATTTTGGGCAAAGCGCCGAGGTGTTTATTCAAATGTATGGCAACACTGCTGCACATTGTTTGCTTGCCTTTTCCTTTGTGGCCTGAACTTGTTCAATGTATTCAGTTTTGTTCTTATCTGATGTACCTAATTTGATTTCTTGTTAAATTCTTCTCAGGTTTCAGGCTTTCTTGGTGGGATAAATATGGCATTGCTTGTTGCTCGAATATGCCAGCTTTATCCCAATGCCCTCCCTAATATGTTAGTATCTCGATTTTTCTGGGTATACACTCAGTGGCGTTGGCCAAATCCAGTAATGCTTTGCAATATTGAAGAAGGATCTCTTGGACTTCAAGTTTGGGATCCTAGAAAATATCCCAAGGATGGATATCATCTAATGCCGATAATTACCCCTGCTTATCCTTGTATGAACTCCAGTTACAATGTGTCATCAAGTACTTTGCGCATTATGTCAGAGGAATTTCAAAGGGGAAGTGAAATATGTGAGGTATGATCTTATGGCACGAGAAATGATTCTCTTTTTGGCCAAACCTTGAATAATTCTGCTCAAAATTTCTTGTTCAGTGTACAAGTTTGTTGTATCTATGGTTCAATCCTATGATGGGGACCCAAAAGTTGGTGTTCCCACATTGTCAAAATTATGCTAGACGTACGTGGAAATTGAATACCATTGTTTGATCATCTATGATATCTCTTTGGTTCACCGCATTTGTTGTTCTTACTTGATGCACTTTAGTGTAATAAATCTGTCCCAGAAAGTTGGGAAGGAAGATTCTGAATTACTATATTTTTGAGGTAGCGTCTGCTTCCCCCTTCCCATATAGGTAACCATCAATTAGTATTAGAGCCTGTTTGGTGACGATTCTGAAGAGGGCTGCCCATGAAAGGTTCTAACTAGTAGGAGGCCGAGTTAAGAGTTATGGACTATGGAGTGTAGCTGTTGGGATGTTGGCTTTCCATGGGGGGCTAATTGAAGGACTTGGTAGTATGAGATGCCAAGTCCTACATTGAGTAGCATGAAATGCTCATTGGAGAATTAAAGTAGGTTGGGTCTCCCACATCAATAGCTAGGTTTTGGGGTAGGTTTCCCAATCTCACTTGTACCCACCAAATAAAGGGACCTGATCAAGGAAATAGTTGAAAAGTACAGAAATGTAGCAGTGGAATTAAATGAGGGGAAAATTCTAAGGTTTTGATATTATTTATCAAGAAGAACCGAATCAGTATTAAAAACACTCACTAGTTCTGACCAAAACCCTATCTCCCCTTAATAATCACTTCAGAACAATTCAGCAACAAAAACAGGACTCAAACACACTTGCAGCAGTTCACACACCCTCTGGCATTCAAGAGGCTAGTTCTCCTCCACTTCACCCACCATGAGACTACTAATTCTCACGATGTGGTCCTAACACAGCCCATACTTCCAATTAGACTTCTAATCACATCACTGAATCATGGCTTACTGTTCCTTATGGCTAGGCTGTGAAGAATAAATATCTGTACCAATCATAGCGTTCCCCATTAAGCTACCCTTCTTCTCTAACCTCCTCTTATAGGTGAAATCATGAGATTTATCACTATACAAGTGTTATTTATTTATTTATTTATTTTTTTCGTTATTTACTTTGTGTTGTACATTGGATATTATAACCTTTTATAAACTTTGAGTTGGTAGTCTTATAGTTCTAGTTTCTATGAAAATGTACTGTTTATATTGAAGTTGTTAAGGAAGTACTGAATTCCACTATCAATGGAGAAACGATTTACTCGTGGGGTAATCAATATTTTTAAATAACTCTGGCAAATATCTTTAGTAATCGTATTTTCATTTCTTCTTATGTGACATTTGACTTATGTAAATTTGATATTTCTGGGATTTGTAGGCTATGGAGGCAACCAAGGCTGATTGGGATACCCTTTTTGAGCCTTATCCCTTTTTTGAAGCTTACAAGAATTATCTACAAATTGACATTAGTGCAGAGAATGCTGATGATCTTAGAAAATGGAAAGGTTGGGTTGAGTCTCGCCTTCGTCAGTTGACACTAAAGGTGAAACACTTTATGTAACTTTTGTATGCTTGTTATTTCTTGTTATGTTACCATTTTGGTAGTGATTTGGTAGTATAGGATGCTTAAGTCTTGCATTGAGTAATATGAAATGCTTGCTTTGGTCCTTAATGTGAATGATTCTTCCCCCTTGATAGCATGCTTTTAGGGTCGGTTCCTCATGCATGCTCAGGTTTCATCATTTGGTATTATAGCTGGTTGACCAATGATGCAAAGAGGGCTCCTTGCAGAGGATTCTGACCAGTTAGAAGGCCAAGTGTAGTGTTGCAGGGTGTAACCATAGAGATGTTGCCTCTTTCGGGCTCTATGAAACTTTTAAGTCCTACATAGAGTATTAGGGGATGCTTGATATAACACTTAAAAGTGTATGGTTCTTCCACCTTGACAGCATGCTTTTAAGGGTGGGTTCCACGCACATCTCTAGATCCTATCATATTCTCTCTTACCTCTTTTTTACATGCTTTTTTTTTTAA